GCGCACTTTTTCGATTTTTCAAGCAAGCCTTTCAGCTGCTTCACTGTGTTTCAGAAAACGATTTTTATGCCGCACTATTCTCTCCGGCAATATGTAACAGCGTTTGGGCTAATCAATTTTGGAAAAAAATCCCCCACGCCTTATATGCGTGAAATTAAGGTATTTCCTACAGTAGATAGTGTTAATTAAGCACTCCGAATATGTACTTCAATGTGATATGTTAATGCTGTTTTAATCCCACTAAGTTTTAGAAAAACATTTAGACTACAGTTTTTCGTTGCACCCATGCTACTAATATAATTTTTCGTTTTAGCACGAGAAGCAGCTCTTGCACCTGAACCTTCGGTTATAATGCATCCTGCACCACCATCTACACAAACAGAGCACGCGTCCACTTCTGTTCCACCTACAGCTTCATCACACGCTCCTAACACTGCAGAGCCTAACACTTCACACCCTGCACCCACTTCTTCTCAGCACGTTTCTGTTCCTGTATTGACTGAGTTCAAATCAGAAGAATCTGCTCTAGAACCGGCAATTGCAGTATTGGCAGAACGCCCCGAAAAAAGTGAAAATACCCCTATCACAGGTCCAGTCACTCCGCACGTTGCCTCTAGCCTAAGTTACTCGGCTAAAGGAGAAATTCCTGCAGCAGCAGTCACAGTTTCTCCAGCACCTCCTCCACCAGCACCTGCTCCATCTACACAAGTGGCGTCTGTCTCAGTTCCAGCACCGTCTTCCAACATAGAAGAGGTAGAGCCAGCTCCTGTAGTACCTGCATTCGTACAGCAGCCTGACACATCGGGTGAGAGCACTTACTCAAATCTCGAGGAGGATCATGCAGAACCAGAAGGTCCAATTGTCTCGGCATCAGGTCAGACATCTGCTTTCAAACAGGAACCTGCAGCAGAGATAACGAATAACGTGGATGTCATGGAAGGAGGTATCGCACCTCCAGTACCAACATCAAACTCAGCATCAAGTTTCGTCACATCATCGATCTCCCATGTGAATATGGGCAGCAGTTTACCTAGTCCCAGCGGTTATGAGAGTAGCTCTGGTGGCTCCTTCGGTTCCCCACCACCTTACTCTTCGACAGCCGAAATTACCCCAGCGCCGGCTCCTGCTCCCACTCCTGCTCCTGCTCCCGCTCCCGCTCCTGTTCCTGTTCCTGCCCCATCATCTTCGCAGAGTTTCACTTCTATTTCAGAGGAATATGAGAGTCCTGCGCCTGCACCATCCGTCACGAGTGAAGCAGCCGTCGGAGCGCCTCAATACATCAATGCTTCTCCTTCTCCATCAACTGGACTTTATAAAGGAACTTCGCAGCAGGTGTC